TACAACACGAAACTCAACTCAAGGGATCCTGGCAAGTTCCGCCGTCGATCGAAACCAGCCAGCCACACTGCCATCACAATTGGAAATCCAGGTGGAGGATTATACGCTTTTGGCGTATCGAATTCTACATTTGGGCTATGGCATTGACGGGCAGCTCCGTAAGTGTGTACCGTCCACGTAACGCAAGTACGTTCTCTCCAGCTATGCATGCATGTGTGTGTGTGTATGGAGGCAGCTAACCACAACTGCCCCAAACCCATGTCCCGCTATTCCCAATCACGGTCGGCCTCGAGATCGGTATCAATGGCTCTCTGGCCAATCCGAGGCCGCAGAGGTGCTTTTCCAAGGCTTCGGGTTGGCGCTAGCTACGCCTCTCGCCAATCCACGGTGAACACCTCAGCTGACGATGGGTCATTGGCTGGACTCGATGTTACCCTGGACGCATAGGCGAAGATCATGCCAAGTTTCCGTCTCTTTGCTTTTTACTATAATGCAGGCGAATAAGTAATTATGAACACGGAACACCTGCGAGAAGGCAATTCCGGCCATCCATGCAAGCTGCACGCTTTTCTTTTTCCTGGCCACGCGTGAGTGGACATGTCCAGATCTCATCTCATCGGTTCCTAGCCCGCTCACTGGGCAGTCAACGGACACGGAGCTGCCTCCTCGACCTCGCTTATCTTGACGAGCAGGAACAGCAAATCTCACAATGCATTTGCATTGAGGTCGAGTCTCGCCTATGCCTGCCTATATGCAAATTTGCATGTTATAGCTCATTACCTGCAATATTTGCCATGTCCAGCCGCAGAAGGCGAGATAATGCCTCCGCTTCACCTGATAGGTGAGCGACCATTTCAATTCCTGTCCCATATTTTGTCAATCCCCATCAGCTAAATTAATTCGGTGACCCGCTCCCCTCCATCTAACAGCTGTCTCCATCTTCATCGTCTGAATACACGCATTCTCACCGCCACTCATTCTCCTCTTTGCTGGTCCCCCCTGTTAAAGTTCAACGATTCACGATGGCACTTATGGGGCGCCCAGGCCGGCGTTATACGATGCACGAATGAGATGGCCGCGCCGGCCCTACACCCCCTCGGTTGTCGCTCCTTTAGCTCCCTCTGGTCGTCAAGTCCGGGCCTATTCCCATCGGTACCTGTTCTACTACGCAAGCTTGACTCTAGGCCTTCCCGCACTGGTTTCCCCCTTTGGGCGGTCTGCCAGGCACAAGTACCTGAAAAAAGATCCAACTGATTCATTCGGCCGAAAGCCTCACAGCAGAGAGGACGAGCTAAAAAAGTAAAAAAAAGGTACCGAGACAAGAATCAGGAGGCAGTCCTCCACAATCCACGCCCGCAGGTCGCCGATCAAACCAAACCGTAGCGCCAGGCGTGTTCAATGTGCATAGCTGACATGTACACCACCACTACGAGCACATCGTCTGCTTGAGGCAAAGGAAGCAGGAGGTCTCGCTGTGGTTTGCCGTGCTGACCTGGATTGCACTTTTCGGCTGAAGGGTTTGGTGATGGTTGCTGGATCCCCACCTCCGGTACAACGCTCCCAAGACCCTCCACGCCCTCCCTTGCATTGCGTTTTTCCTTGGCCCGCTCGTCGTGAATTGACCTGCTACCTGCTGCCATTGGTCCCCCCGCGCCATGCGAATCATCTCTCTGGTACTTGACCTGCCAAGTCTGGTCATGGGATCGACGCCCACTTCATTCACCCTCAGCGCCCCCTCCTCCCTCTCCACCACCCTACCCTTATCGTTAAGACATGCATCAAGTGCGCACGCTAGTGATACAAAGTCCGGCTCAGCATGAGTGAAAACCGTCTTGCGGCCGTCCGCCAGCTGCTTCGTCCGCTGGTAATCCCGCAAACCCCCGAGACCCTGCCCCGGTAGCTTGTCACTTGAGGCCATCACGGAATTTGCGGTAAAGGCGTTCGAGGACTTGGGATTGGGGGATATCCTTGTCAAAAAAGTTTTGTATCCGCACCTCCCGCACGCTTTTTTGCCCTTCGGTGTGTCAATCGACTCGCTACTAAAACAGATGCTGGGCGCTGATCAGCAATTACGCACTCTGATTCGCTTACCAAACTTGCTTGTTCCTTGTGTCAAGCCTCGTCTCATCATATTAGTTCATTTGTTTTGATCCTCCTTCTCTTTTTGCTTTTACGACTCCGGTGTATCAGAATAGGGTCGTTGAGGCGGTAAGCGTCAAACAGGCCAGGAAACCTGTTTTCCTTTTCCAAGCTCTGCATCTGACACATCACACTGGACATCAGTGCAGGCATACTAACGGTGACAAATCGAGGGGATCCACGTCCGCAGGATCTACAAACCGTTCTGGAGTACACAGATCGCCGAGTGGGCGGCGGTAACGCCGCGATTCGTCATCGCCACCGGCATCACTCCATCATACAGCGCAACTGTCGGAGGTTTCGGGAAAAGATGCGCTCTATCCTGAAACGCACCCAACCAGGCGGCCCTGCTCCTCTGGACCCTTATGAGGGCGATCGCCCGCGATTGATATCATCCACCTGGATGTGTGCATCCAACGTGGAATTCTATGACGTTGGCCCGCTCCATCCGTGCCAGGGTCGACCACGTTTCGGATTTTCCCATTTATCTCGACCAACGCACCAGGCGCGTGCAGAGCGAAGACATCAATTTGGGGATCTACATTTTCACTTTACACGTAACCGACTCCTACTGGTATCGCGAATACCTGCACCCTCAGCTCTGTTACATACGACTTAGACATCCGTGGTCCGCCCGTAGGCAAAGCCCGACTGATCATCGCTCATATCACAAACAACCGCGTATCACAACCAGTTCCTGAGACACCTGTCTTCCAATGACCGGGTTTCACTACAACAAAGCGGCTCATCACCATCGCATCTTCTGGCGTCGGCCTCGTCATCGGCGTCCGACGGATTGAAGCCCGATTAGGGGCGTGAGCTGGGTATCCCAGGATCGCGGGACGATCGGATGGTCTTTGCTTCTGTTTTCCCAAGCTTACTTCTTGTCAATGCTTTTCTCTTTTGTGCGCGTGAGCAAATCGTACATGCTGGATCCCTGCATAAGCACTCGCCCCCAGGAAAAGGATCAAGCCTTTCCTTCCTTCCTCCATGCCTCCCCCCATCGTCGGGATCCAACTCCCTCCCATCAGCGTAAACGTGGGTATCGTAAATCGAAAGTAATAGTACAAGAGAGGGGTTCTTCGCGACCGAGCCGCGACACTCCTCGCCACCCCCTACTTAACCCCTCAACCCCCTGACGAGAGATGCTCATTCGCAATGAGCACCCAAGTCGTGATGCAATAATGTGTGACTATCAGCGTCTGGTAGCGCTGTGCCGTGCGTTTCCCCCTTTTCTCCCCTCCGCAAAACTTCGGTATACAGAAGTGCCAAAATAGATTGATCAAAGGCCCTCTCCAGTCTCAGCCTTGCTCGCCCAGAACCTCGATAGTATATACAACAATTACCGATCGAGGTCAAGGCGTAAGCTCAGCCGCTTTTTTTGTTTTCCTACCCCCTCCCCCTGCCTCGCCACAAATAGCGTTGCATAGGAAAAGAAAACATGGGGAAATTTGAACCCGAGGCCAAGGATGACCCGGACGGCTGGGTTATCGACTTGTCGAATTGACCGAATTCTTCCTCACCGGAGAATGCCATCGCTCTCGCCTTTCAGCCGTTCCACCCTCTTCTGTTCCCAGTTCTCGAGGTCCCGCCCGGCGAGTTTCTAATCGAAATCGGCGATCAGTTAAGACATTCCCAATAATAATTTTCTTTTTCTTTTTTTCCCAAGGAACTTTCCGTATCTCGCCAATTGGAGCCTCCAATCCCATGGGAGAGAAAGTTCCAAGGAGGGCTCAGGTGAAAAGGGAAAGAAAAAAACCTACATAGTACTCCTCGCGCATGTCGACCTTGCGCGGCGCCCGCCGGACGTTGAGCTCCTCGTCCTTGGTCATCTGGCGGACCTTCCTGTCGTAGCGCTCGTAGCGGATGGCGGTGGCCGGGGTGAGGACGAAGGAGCCGGCGACGATGACGGTCATGAAGGGCAGGCCGAAGGTGAGGAAGGGGTGCCGGTTCATGAGGGACCGGTACTTCATGGCGATGCCGTTCATGCTCGCTGACGAGCGGAACTTTTTGTTCTGGAAGGCCCCCATCGTTTTCTTTTTTTGCTAGCGGTGTCAATTGAGTGTTGCAGAGGTTCGGTGAAGGTTCGTTCGAAAGAAGATATCGTGGGAGTGAAGAGTGGTCTGACCAGAGTGGATGACGGCAAGCTTCGGGATGGAGATGATTGATTAGGATCGTGGTGGGTTTCCGGAGAGCGCCTGTCAAAAAATCCGGATGTGTCAGCATTGCTTCATGATGGGAAGACTCTAGACCCACCATGCTTTCGTTGTCCTTGAGTTGGGCACATACACAAGAACGTCTCTAGCAATTTCAAGTAGGATGTAGAAATACAAAATAAATATCATTTCAATTGGCAGAGGTTCCAGATCAAAAACTTCAGTAAAGGAAAGTCTGAACTGGTATCTCCTCTCTCCGTTCATTTCTTCACTCCACACTTGGGTTACCCTAGATCAGACCAAGAACATACCCAGAGCTGGAGATGGCGAGGTTACCTGTGCACCTAAGTCAAACTGTTTGAGGGATATCATAGGAAACTTTTATTCGGTCATTACGTATCTGTCTTCAATCTAGTGTGATAATATAAAATGACGAGAAAAAATTGAAATCGTTAAACCCTAAACCCACCCATGGCCCAGTATCATGTGGATGATAAACAGATCTACTTCGCTGAACGAAGGCAATTCGCGTAAACCCTAAACAGACAAACAACAAAAAAAGACTCTAAAAAAAAGACTCTAAAAAAAAAGACTCTAAAAAAAAATCCGGAACGAAAACAGGCTAAACATTGCTAAGTCACAATAAACACATAAAACACGCAAAACACAAAAACAATCAAGGAGGAAAAACAGATCATCCTCACGTCACCTCGTAAAGTCGTCATAATATCGCGAAAGAGTATAATCCTCGAGATTTAAGTCGAGAACAAGTGAGCCCCGGGTCCTGTAAAATGACGAGGGGAACTCGTGGCTGCCTGAGCTGCCATGGCTACTGTGGCCGGTTTGGGGGTCACTGCTCTCGTAGCCCGCAAGGCTCCCGAAGCCGTGATGGCTCACGTAGTTCGCATTGCTCGCGTGGCTCGCCTGGTTGACGGTATTGACATCAACTGGGCTGATGCGATTTCGCGGAATGTATGAACGCGAGCCCACTCGCGACGAAGAGTCGCCGGCGCGTCTTGCGTTCTCATCTCCGTGAAACGTGAACTCGGCATCGGGGCCGAAGTAATCCTCACAAAAAGGGGAGGAGGGATTGGTGGTGCCGGAGCCATTGGTAGGCGGTGGTTCACCAGTCATTGAGACCTCTGTATTGCTCGCGAGGTTCTCGCCGCTGTTCACATTCAGCTCGGCCAATGGGCCACGATCCGAGGATGGGAACTTCTCCCGAAGACGATGGTAAACTTCGAGGTCGATATTGAAAGCGCGGCAAAGAGTGGGAACATCCTGAAGCAGAATGTATGATCCACTGTGCGCGCCACCCTTGACAACCTCCTTCTTCATTTTCGGAAAGCGGGTGAAATACGCAAACAGAGTCCTCCGGGACACGTTGGCAATCTTGACCAGGTCAGTTGCCTTGATAAGGCCGGCCTCCGGCTTGTACGCGATCTCGTGGTTGTTGTAGACGAGGTGGTTCTTCTGCGGGCCTCGTTGGTACCTGAGGAGGAAGTTCTCCTCGTCCGGCGGCACCGACTCGGGGAGCATGGCAATCATGTCTGCCAGCTCGGTCTCGAGGCCCACGGCGCGGATGAGTAGGACACCATCCCGGAGAGAGATGTATTTTCGATGACCTTCCCTTGCCACGCGTCCAAGCCTGGAGAGCTTCTTCTTGAACGCCCGATGCTGGTCCTGAGACCGGTTGCAGGCGCGAAGAATGGACTCCATGTCCCACTGCCTTTGAGCAGTTCTGAACAAGACTTGCTTCCCATTGACCTCCATGTGGATGTTATTATCACTCCGCACCACCCTTGGAGATGCATTCTGCAGCCGAGAGGGCTCAGTAGAAGTATGGGACAGCGGGCTTGAGGTGACCACGTTGTCATTTATGAACGGAGATGCGCCGGGGTCGATCCCATTGACCACACTGGGGGATGGGTTCTGCAGCTGAAGGGGCTCAATTGAAGCTTGGGACAGTGGACTTGAGTCGACCACATTCTCGTTGATGAACGGAGCCATGCTGGGGTCGATGTCGTTCGCCCAAATACCACCCAGAGGCTGGAAGGGCCCAGAAGAGTACGCGCTGGAGCTCTGGGAGAAGTCCAATCCCATTTCAGGGTTTTGGGCAAAGTCCAAGCTCATGCCATTGCTGTCAATGACCGGCGACACTGAATGCTGGGCCCCCACCCCCATGGGCTGGAGGGGGAAATAAAATAGTGTCGATTCATGGCTGTTGTCTAAGCTCATGTCGATGTTTGTGAAAGGTACAAACTCAGGAGAGTTTTGACTCGAGTATCGTGGCGAGACCGGAGATAGAAGGTGGCCATTGGAAATTTGCCCATGAGAGCAAATGCGGATGAAGTTGGTTGGGGAGAGAACGACGTCAACGGTTTGTGCCGTCTGAAGACTCCTTTGCGTTAAGACTCTGGGAGTATTGGGTGCTGATTCAGGATATCGTATTAAGGTCCCGGTACGACTATGGTTCTTGAGTTGGATTTCTCCGGTTTTAAAGTCGACTTTTATGGCAAATTGCTTTGGGGAAGTTTGATCAAGAATAATATCACAGTCTGCTGGATTGCTACCGAACAGGAAACCACAAGAGGGGTCTTTGGGCTTATTATCAGTGGTAATGCGGAGGAAGGGCGAGGGGGTGGGCAGAGCAGGCAGGCGGGGTGACAGTGTTACTGGCGAGGCGGACCAGTATAGGTCTGAGTCATTGGTGATGGCGGTGGACGGGGCCAATGCGAAGGCGTCCGCGAGAAGGCGTTGGTCCCCGAGCCGCGTGGCGAGCTGGTCTGTGAAGTGAATAGTGCAAATGGTTCTTGCACTTGATGACGAGGCATCTACTTCCATTCTCGTAGCTGGGGAAGTCGGGCAGGGCGCGTGGCAAATTATTCTAGAACCTGAGGATGCCCTCTCCTTTTAGAAGCCTGGCCTTGCCTGGCAATTCCAGGCAATCGCGCCAGCCTGGGCCCAGCACGATGCGATGCCATACCCAAATCCCCTACATAGCCTGGCGCACAGCCACAAAGGCCAGTGGTTGTGTGTTTCTTCACAGAGAACAGCAGCCGTTGAGGCAAGGCCGGCGTTGGTTGTGTGTCAGAACCCAAAAGACCCGTTTGGCGGCCAGGCTGTCAGGCTCCCGTGCGAAGTGGTCAGCCACGATCGCCACGATTGGCTGGCTCGTGCCTGCAAGCCCACAGTACAGCTCGACCAGGGCCGCCGTATTGGCCCCAGCGCCACACTCACAACCCCGCATTCGAAAAACGCCCGACTTGTCGCCTTGGGGCCTTGAAAAGGTACCTTGGTGCTCACCGAGACCGGCTGGCGACTAAAGTACCCGTTCACGTCTTTTTTGACAGCTTCTCTTGTCCGAGGCCACCTGCCCCCTGCCCCACCCCTGCCCATCCTGCCGTGGTCCCCTGGTCTGCCGGCGGCGGGCCCACAACAACCGCCGCTATGCACCCACATGCTTCTGCTTGCCGTCGGGAGGACGACTTTGAACATCGTTATCACAGTCGCATCGTGAACATTCCATCAGCAACTGGAACCAACAAGACACTAGCTCTCCATGTCGCCAACCCGCCGCAACCTGCCGCAACCTAATCAATTGCATCGGGCGCGTAAATGCGACGTCAATTGGACGCCTTGGCCTGCCTCGAAACCCAGCAGTCCGCGATCGCAAGGGCAATCCTGGATCGCAGTCAGGCAGCAGCCCTGTGTGACCGGACGTTCGTCACTGTGTGACTCCTCAGGCATGGAGAAAACACCCACCAGAGCTCGCGGTGTGAAGGCCAAATTTGGGAATTATGACGTGGAGTGACTGCCGTGGGAATCATTGTATGTCTCCATCCCCGCGCACCATGAATGCACCCGTACCCACGTGAGTGCACATTCGTGCGTCCGGGAGGGCACGTTCGTGTTTTCTATCTAGATGATGGAACAGGAGTGGACAGGCCAGACAAGTATTGCAACCGCGCTGATTGGCGCATGGCTTGCTCATAGTAGTATCCGGCATCACCGTAGGGCTTCAAAGTACCAACCGGGTGGTATCAGATTGGTATCCTCTCCTGCGCTGAACAGTTCCTCTGCGGTCTGCCCAATTTGGCGATATCATGAATTGGAGCGAGGGGGCGGCCCCCAATGCTCCCGCGCGACGTAGGTAATCACAATTTGTGGCCAGGATCGCCAGGCCAACAACAGCTGATATCGTTCGAAAACCAAGTCGTAAAAATAAATCCCGTCTCTCCAAAAATAAGTACCGTAGTAAATCGGGTTTGAATGATTTTCGGCCCAAGGCATTTGCTGGCCGCATAATCGCCCGCATACAATGGCCGCGCCCATTCCCATTGTTCCCGGCCGGCGGCTGTCTGAATGAGGTGGTTAATGACGGACGAGAGTCGCGCGCTTGTTGCGCTTCGCTGAGTAATCACACATGATTCGACCACGCTGACGGAGGTTCGATATGCAGGCAGGTCTGCATTGCATCAGCACAGCCTTAGCCTTACAGCTGGGTCGGCGTGGCTGGCACCAGCGGTAAGGGAACCGTCATTCGATTTTATCCTATAGTTGGGTGCGCAGAGGTCAGTTTTCACACCGATATATGCATGTAATCCATCCGTGATTGCCAAGTTGGTCGCAGTTCACTAAATTGGTTGGGTGTGGATCAGCCGGTCCTGGGTACTCTTTGTTTCTGGATTTCGGTGTGATGAGGCTTAGACTCTACCGATCGGCCACGATAGTCGGTATTCCTCCTTCCTCCGATGGCAGGTGTTCTGCGACACCAGATGTTCCTCTAATGCTAGGCATTCTCAGAGTCAGGAATAGGTACACCGAACAGAGCAACGGACAAGGACAAGGTGGGTACTTACTTCTCATCCGTCTTGACGGACAAACATACAAACATACGCAAGCAAGGCACATCGGAACGGTACTTGAAGCCCTATTGTTTGAATAATCTAAATTTAAACATTTGTAATGCCTCGCTGAGTTGTACCCAAAATAAGGAAACAGCACATCACATTTCCATCTCATCATATTGTGGCATAGCCCACTGCTCCCACATTCGCCCTCGTTGCTATGTTATACCAACACGCTCCAGATTCGCTTGGCGATCTGAAGCTCAATGCTTTGGCCCACCCTAAGAGCCGAATATCATGAAATCTCTACCGAAAAGAAAATGAAGAAAGAACACATGGGAAGAAGAAGAAGAAGAAGAATAGTAATAATAATAAAAAAAATTGCTGAAATGAGGGTAGAAGAATCAGCCGCTCCTCGGAGCGTTGTTCATCGAGAGCTGACCAGTAGACAGGAAGATTGGTACATGTTGAACAAGACCGAAAAATAAAATGAGAACCGCACAAAAGGAAAATCCGTTCACCCTTTGAAGAGGGCATGCACTTCATGAAACCATATCATCTCGTCGTCCCTGATGAATTGCAACGATGTCTGCTGTGAGAAATAAGAGTAATGTGTATATACCGAGTGATGAGCGCCAATCCAAGTGAGTCTTATGTCTGGAGACACGAGTAAATAAAGGCCCAGCCTGTAGATGATGTTGTGTCCAAGCTTGAATCGATTACTGCTCTATCCGAGGAGAGGGCGCCTGCCACCCGTTTAGGAACGCCATGAGCCCCATGCCGAGAAGCACCACGCCCACAGCGGAAGCATAGGGCAACCCAACTTGTAGTGACTGTGTTCCGCGGGATGCATCATGAGGATGAAGTGCTGTTATCGTGTTCGCTCGCGACAACGTTGGTTCATCGCTGGTGTCAATGTTTGACCCGGAACCGTCTGCTTGAACAACGCTGGAGCCATCACCAGCAGCTGATGGGTCAGCACTGGCAGTGGCGGCCTCGTTCTCGTTATTAATAGCCCGTCTTCGGGACCTCGATCTCTTTTCTTTTTGATTCGCCACCTGCCGAGCCTCCTCTGCACGAAGTTGAACGACCATCTCGGCCAGCGTCTTACGATCTGCGTCTCGTTCTGATTCCGCAACTTCGCATCGTTGCTTCCAATGCTCCAATTGCTCCTTGAGCTCGAGCATTTGAACATCCATGGCATCAATTCGCGACTGGAGAGAAATTGCAATTTCCTTGGCCGCATTGTCTTCTGTTGCCGCTGTGTCGCGATCCTCGGCATTCTCCCCCTCATCTTGCTCGATGTTTTTAGAGGGTTGCTCAGATTCGTCATTCGTCTCGAGGGCGGACTCCACTGAAGGGGCAATGGCAACACCATTCACTTGACTGCTGGCAGACTCTTCTAATCGCTTCGCGAGCTCCTCCGCCTCTTCGCGAGCAACCCGCTCTGCTTGCAGCATTTGCTCAAGCTCTCGCATGCGAGCGGTTTGGGTATCAATATCTCGCTTGGCATTTTTCAAGGCCTCCGTTAGTTGCAGGATTTGGCTTGAATTGTCTTGGCGTATAGGAGATGCATTCTGTGGGACTGATTTGGGACGGTCGATTGACCCACGCTTCAGAGAAGGGACATCTGGTTTCTCGGGTAACGGTTGTTGAGGGGGAGGAGCCGGAGGCTCTGAAAAGCGGGCTTTGCCATCAGGTCGATACGGAACGCCGTTGCCATTTACCACGTGCTGCGGCAGAGGTTGCTCTTGGATCTCGGCCTTCTCTATATCTTTGACGTCGTTCTTTGATAATAAGGTCGAGACAAACTGATTCGTTCGACCCAAATCTTGGGCCTGGAGCCGAGCGCTTCGCATCTCGTTCTGTCCATAGGTTAGCGGATACGTTTATCAAGTTTGTCAAAAAATGAGTGAGCAGCAAGCTGGCCTTACCATGAGCCGTTTTAATATTTGATCAGTTGCAATGGGTGAAAGGAAAAAAGGGCGTTGTTGAGCACCTTGTCCGTTCATCGGAGCACCGGCCGGTACCATGCGGCCATTGCTGGCGTTGCTACCGGCTCGCCCACGCATCGCCATGGCCCCATTAGACATCATGTTGCTGTTTGCTGGGTCGAGATCTCCAAAACTCATGTCTAAAACATTGCTTGAAGGGCTCATGAAGCCGGCATGTTCGACCTTGGCAGCGACCTTGTGATGCACGATCGTCTTTTGATCCTCGCTCACAATATCGATGCCAAGTTCGAGGTGATCACCAGTTTGCAACTCGTGGGGGTCAGACTCCCGGTTCTCTTGTGACAGCCGCGAGCCGTTGACAAACGTGCCGTTTGACGAC